GCTTACGATTGCTTGCATTTCTCCTAATGAGTAAGAGTGTTGGTAACCTAGCCAGAGATGGATTTCCTCCTCTAGGGAGGGTTAAGTAGACCCAATATTGGAATCGGAGGTTTCGAGAGTGTCTTAGTTACTTTTTTCATTGCTGAGACAAAATACCCCAGACCTACAAGTTATTTAGCTCACAGTTTGCAGAGGTTTCAGCCCATAGTTGGTGGCTCCAAGGCAGCTTGGCGTGGCAGAGGAGAAATAGTGCGTAGCAGTCAGAAGACAGCAAAAGCAAGCGACAAGACAAGCCTCTTTCTGTCCCTTATATTGTATCCAGGCCACTGGAATTGGGTGATGCCAAACCAATCAGTGGACTGATTTAGTAATCACCCTGCCTTAATCCTAGCATTGCAACATGAATCAGTCACATTCTGTAGATTCAGCTACCTCTGAAAAAGCCCCACCTGTGACTACATGAGGTTTTTTTTTGGGGGGGGGGACATCTAGACACAAGGCATAACAGAGACAGTTCAATGCCGAATGTTTCATATTTCTCTGGTGATTTGGACTTATAAGATATTCAGTGAACATACAGAGTTTTGATTGAAAAAGCACCTGTAGGAGTTCAATGAATACCTTAACCAGTGTTCCTACTCATCTTTGGCAAGAGGTACCTCGCTCCATATAACAATCTGAGCAGTATCTGGATAAGAAATGAGACTGACTAGTTTCTCCTTTCAGCTCTTCCTCTTACGGGGCAGATGTGGGTCAGATTACTCACTGTCTTTGAACCTGATTTTGCTTAATTTATAAAATAGCTGTAGCAATAGTGGTGTTGTAGGATTGTTGAACATCCTTTCCCCCAAAACCTATAAGTTGAGCATCCCTAACCCCCAAACCCCAAGTCCTCAGTGCCTCAAGTGCCAGCATGATGGAAGATTCTGCATCTGGCCACATGTGACAGGTTGTAGTCACAGCATGGTACTCAAACTGTAATGCACAGCATTACTAAAGATATTGCATAAAATTACTCTCAGGCTAGGTATATAAGTATATATGAAACTTAAATGAATTTTGTGTTTAGACTTGGCTCCTGTTCCCAACGTATCTCATGATGTGTATATAAATAGACTAAAATCTGAAAAAAATGGGAAATCTGAAATACCTTGCATCCCAAGCATTTCAGGGAAGGGATACTCAACCTGTGTTGGCGATAAGGATGTCCACAATTTGTTAAGCAGTTGTTTTGAGTCAGACACTAAGCAAAGCACTTTAAACACACGATCTCATTTACCTGTTGTGAAGCGTGAAAGCCAAGCGCATGGCACAGCTCTCTGCTCACTCATGCAGGCCCCACGCCAGCTCCGGCCCAGCAGGGTGTGTGTGATGAAGAGTCAGCGGGCAATTAAGGAGGGAGGTCTGTGTTGTGGAGGGAGGAGGAGGCGTGATCAAGTGGATGGAGCTAAGAGAGAGGTGGATTAGACAGGAGGAGGACAACAAATGACGTGTCAGTGACATGCTAGAAGTCATTTTCTGAGAGCCTGTTACCCCTAGTTACAGAGTGGAATTGGTGTCAGGTGACCAAACGTGTTTTACTGACACAGTGAAGCCTTCCCATGTGCCACCCAAAGGATCCTGCACTTACACTGTGTCTGAGGCCAGCAGGGAGCAATACCCGTGGTTTCTGTCCCTGACGCAGAAGTCTATCTAGGGATGTTGGCTGGTCCACAGATTTCCCTAAGCAGAAAGCTGGAGAAAGGTCCAGGCCTTTCCCTAGGGTCTTAGTGCAGTCGGGGACTCCCAGCCACTCAGCTACCCCATGCTCTTGTTTCAGGTTTCCCCACAAGCAGACCTGGAGACAAGGGTTTGGTTGCAAGTAGTTTTTTAGAGATGATGCCGGCGAGTGTGGCAGGAGTGTGGGAGAACTAGATGGGGAAGGAAGGAAGAAAGGCCAGCAAAAGCACGTTTCTGAGTCCTCTATGGGCAGCTGGGTTCACTGCCTGTGTTGACCCACAGGGAACTGAGCGGGGTCAGGGAGCTGTGAGATTCCAGGTGGGACTCTGGAGGTGGGCGTGGTCTGTGCAGGAAGCTGCACTGACTTTTGAGGTGTATGGGGAGCCTCTGGTAGGGCTCCAGCAGCATCTGCTAAATCTTGTATTTTGAAGACATTTACACTTTTTAAAATTTCACTTCCCATTTGAAAGTCCTCAACCTAAATTGCCGTCTTACAAAAATCAGGACTCCCCCTTCACCGCTGGGCCGCGTTCACTGCATAGGGGCTGACTGCTTTCCTAGTCTCCGTGTCACCAAAAACCTTTCCTCTCAGAGGGCCTCTCTGAACGTCAGTCTGCAAATGAGCAGAAAATGAGGAAGTGCTTCTGAAGAGTCCCCATTAAACAGGCCTCAGGACGGGCAGACCGCTAGAGTGTGTGTCAGCGTAGGAGGAATCACAGGGTTACCTTCAGAAACAGGACTTCTCCGCAGCAGGCACAGGCCGCGCCAACCTGCGCGCAGCTTCAGGCTTGGAACCTGGAGCTGGAGGATCTGGTTCCATTCCTGTGGATGCAGGAAGAGTGCTTTGCTTCTTCACCCAGATTCACATCCCTCCTGCTCGGAGTTGCCCTGCCTTTCAGCCCGGATAGCAAGCACATAACATCATTTCTGCTGAACAAGAGAATGTCTGGATGTGTGTTTCTCTATTTGATAATTTCTTTCTAAGCACACGCAAGGCCCTGCCTAGGGTTCCAATGTAAATAAAGCAAAGCATCCAGCAAAGCATCCACGGACTACAAAGGCAGCAGTTAGTCTTTAAAGCACAAGTGTTTCTTGGCAACCTCTACCTCCCTGTGCCCAATTATCATAGTATTCAACCCGTAACTCCCACATCCATGCTGACTTCTAAGTAAATTTGTCCAAAAATACTCTGAATCTGTTGAAAGTAAAGTTTGAGAGTTTTGAACTTCTAAATGATACTTCTTTGGATGAAGTTTCCCAGCCTTAATTCCAAGGTCTTATTTTTCTCACGCCCCCGCTAGGGATGGGACCCAGCGCCTTGAGCATGCTAAGCAAGCGCTACCGTTGTGCCAAAACCTAGCCCTAGAGCATATCTGGTAGCATGGGACCCCTCGTCCTTACATTTGAGTGGATCAAATGTGAGGGAGAACACAGAGGGAGCGCTGAGCCCCTCAGTCTAGTCGGAGAGTGTGTGTTTCTGGAAACGAGGTGGGTGCTAAAACAAATGACCACTTTTGGGTACCCACTCACCTGAGCTTCTCCTCACAGAGGAGGCTGGGACCCAGTAAAATACTCAGAGCAGTGTAGTTGGCAATGCCACCGTGACTAAATGTTGTTATAGGTGATAAACCTTGAGTAAGTTGAAATCTTCAGGGAAAAATCCAAGAATAAATTCAGTACTTTGTCTTTACTGCAAGAGCCGTTCGCTGGTAAGAAGAAAAGCACATATGAGTGTCAGAGCCTATCTTTCTTTGTGGATCACGTGGGTGACAAACTACCTGTGTCAGGGATGAGAGGTAAGAAAAGAGAGGACTGGTTAATCTATAAGGAATAGCTTCCGCCTTCATAGTTCCTTTGCATTATACCTAGCAAGTAACCGTAAGTATCTAACCTGCATGGATCATGGCAGCAGTAATACTTAAGACACATCCTTCTCAAGTTTTAAAATAGAATTTAATGCTGGAAAAGTACAAATTAGCCAAAAAAGTTCTTTCAGAAGTGTTCAGGTGGTAGAAAAATGAAATAGTCTAATAAAGCATCCAAGGAATGTGCTGTTCTAGAGAATTTGTGAAAGCCTATGATTTATCATAATCTAACGTGTTTTCACTAGAATTTGAAAATTATTCAGAGGTACCCAGCTCACAGAGTATTGCTATTTTAGTTCTTGGTATATTTTTCAGAGTGAATTTGTTTGCAGTTGCCTCTCTGCAAAATGTGTTAGCCTGCTGTTTTTAAAATTTCCTCTTATATTCTTTTCTGAAATACTGATTTTATTTTTCTGAACGTAATTTTATATGGGCATAGATGTGCCGAAACAACTTGCTATGGTTCAAGAAACTGAATTCTTACGGGCATTTGTCTTAGTAATGTGATCACAGAGTCACTAACTTGATCTTAACAACATTTGCCTGTTATCATGTAGTAGATTCATGAAAGGAAAACTGTGCCTCCTAACCCAGAGGATTACCCTTGTGCATCTCCCTTAGCTTAGAATACCTTGCAAAATTAAAGTCCCGGTGACTTCACGTGGCTATTTGCATTATTTGAAACTAGTTAGGATTAAATCCAAACATTATCACCAATGTTGGACATAGAGAAGAAATTACGTTTTTAGCACCCCTTTAGAAACTTTTAAATCATTGACTCGTGGCATTTTATAATCTAGCCACACTGCACTTCATCAGATGCTGTCTTTACTATGTTATGGCTGCAGGAGGCAGCATGATACCAAAAGTTTGGAATCCACTGTCAGACGTGGTTAGACTCTCACTCTGCCACTTACTTCCCATGTGAACTGGGACGCTGCGAATCCACCACTCAAGCCCTCAGTTTCTTCATTTCTTCTGGAGAGACAGACATCATTGCATCCCTGTTCCAGTGTCCCATTTAAATATTGTGACCAACACCACCTTCAACAGATTTCACACTATGCTGAGCTAACAACGTACACAAGAATGTGTGGTCTGTCTCTGTTTACATGAAGTTCTGAAATAGGCAAAACCCCTTAAGATGAGAGAAATCAGGACGGTGATTTCCTCTAGAAGAAGACTCTTGACTAGAAAGGAGTTCCACAGGGGAACTTTTGGGTCTGATAGAAGGAATGTTTCACATCTTGACTTGGGTGTTGATTACGCCAGTGTGTATATTTGCCAAAATGTGTTGAATCATACAATTAAATCAGGTGTTTTATTTTGTACAAGTTATATTTCAAAGAGAAAGCAGTTCACTTGTCCATTAAATGTTTAGTTTTCTAATGACTTTTTTTGTTTTTTGGTTCTCAGGATGCGGTGACCATCTGTACCCTGGGGATTGGGACAGCCTTTGGGGAGTCCATTCTGGACAACACACCCCGCCATGCAACCATTGTTACCAGGGAGAACAGCGAGCTGCTCCGCATTGAGCAGAAGGACTTCAAGGCACTATGGGAGGTGAGCCCCAAGGCTTCTTTGTCAATTAATGCAGTTTCAGACGAGAAGGGGAGCTGCCACATGGGTAATGGCATTAGAGTCAAGCCTTAATGTGTTCCGTCCTGAGATGGCAGATGGAATTTAATTTCCAAAACTTGTTTTTGAAATGAGTGAGTGAAAAAGCCATTTTGACACAAGACATCTTTTTTTCTAATTTAGTGCTGGCTCAATTTTCTGTAGTTTGACATACCTTATAATTATTTCTTGAATGACCATAGAGTGTTTTCTGTATTTTCACTCTTCCTATTCCACAGATGTATTCTTACCCAGGGAACAAAATACTTTGACATTTTCTTTTGCATTTTAAAATTCATTATTGACACATTCCCCCAGGAAAGTGGAATGAACGGGGTTAACATCTGCTTCATTTAAATGCTTTTAAAAATGATGTGCAATAAAGTATGGGAAATGGAGGTGCAGAATAATATCTGGTTACTTGCCAACTTCCGAATGCAGAGGTGGCACAGTAGTGGATGACTGCAGCTAGTCCTGGTGGCTTTTTGCAAGTTACTGATGTTTACCTGCATCCCTTAGGGTACTGTGTTCGTTCACATGAAGTATCAGGCATAAATCATCTTCTATGCAATCATGGCAAATGGAGCACTTATAAAGGCCTCATGAAGGCTTGCATCTTTCATGCTTGTGCCTTTTCAGTCCTATTTTGCTTCTGATTTTAGCCTGGGGTTGCTCCTTGTCTTTGTCCTTGGCTCAGTGTGTCCAAGAATTAACCTATCGAGCTGGCAGGCTTCATCACTTGTCCCAGTGTGGCTAAGATTTTAAACTTGATCTAAAGAGAATTTTGTGTAATCAAATCGTTTCCTCCAGAGCCAAACAAATGACAGATGCATTCAGGGAGCCAGCCTGCAGGTGAATGAGTGGTGCTTTGCCTTAAAAGTCGGGCAAAGCGTTGGAAGGCCTTGGTGGTGGGACCTGTTACTTTTATTCTTGGCAGCAGTGAATAAATTGCAGGGTTACTTGTTTGAAATGTTTCTCTTAGAAAATATTAAAGAGCTCCAACCGCTCTGTAAAGTTCGGAGACAAAAGCCAGTTTTAGGGAGGAGAAGCGAAAGCCGGTTTGCATGAGGTGTGTGTGCAGAGGTTTTTCTGTCAATTAGAAGGGACGAAGCTTGAGGCAAATAAGCCTTTTTTTTTTTGGATCTTTCATTTTAAAAAGGTAAACTGAAAAGTCTTTTTCAAAAGAGAAATTTGGGAATCGGGTTTAAGAATGAAAATGATTCCTGCCTGTGATGTGTGTCATTATAGCTACTTCTGTCTGGGATGACTTAGTCAAGTTACTGAGAGAAGACGGCTTGTGGAAATATTAGAGGATTTATTTTAATGAGCAGCCCTCAGTGCTGTGAAGGAAGTTCTTGAGAAATTGTGCCTATGGACATTAATACAAATGTATTACAATATTTTCAAACACAATAAAAAAGAATAGTGCAACAGGCGCCCGTTCACCCCTCACGCCGTGTGCAGCAACTGTTCACATGCGGCATAGCTGCCTTCTCTTGGTGGTTTTGTTTCTGTGTTTTGCAGAGCCACTTTAATGCAAATGACAGACGTCATGACATTTAGACTGCATGCTAAATATACAGCACGCATCTAAAAAAACAGTGTCCCGCTACACACTCATGACACCATATTCTCACCTACAAGAGTAGCGACAATATCCTAATAGCATCTCATACCCAGTCTGTGTTTTAAATTTTCCCAATTGTTCAAATAATATCTTTTATAGCTTTTTAAAACAAGGCTGCAGCACAGCATCACGTATTATATTGGATCGTTACACTGAAACCTCTCTTTTCTCTGTCTCTCGTCTCTCTTCTTCCCTTCCTTTTCCTCCTCCCTTCCCTTGGCATTGCCTTCCTTGAAACACCTTCCCCCACATTCAAGACTTGCCTGTTTTCTCGTGGTGTCTTCTTTTAAACCTCTACCCCAAGTTTCCTGTAACTAAAAGTTCAGGCAGTAGCTTAACGAGACCGAGCGAAACCTTTTTGGCAAGAAAGCGTGAAGAGTAATATGGAGTTCTGCGGTGGCTCGGGGGGTCTGCTTGCCTTGCTGTTGGGGATGCTACTTGATCCCCGGTAAGCTGTATCTGAGTACATTTGAAGGCTGTTTTCCACAGACTTTTCCCTGAAAGGAAAATGATTAAATGGGGACATTGGTATTGAAGGCTGTCGTTGCTATCTAAAACCTTACCAAGTATTGTTAGCTCTGTGGGTTCAGCTCTCGTCTATAACCTCTGGGCAGGGTTTCTCAGCTACCGTGCAAGTGACTTGAGAATGATGGGGTAAGAGTCACCATGCAGAGCTGAAGAGCGTAGGTAGGGTTTTTAGTCTGACTTCTTTTACAGGTGAGGAACTAGATCGCACAGTGAGGAATCAGATGCTTCATTTCATTTGCTTTTTCATGCAACTAAGTGCACAGGGTGAATTAGGTGCTCAGTCAGTGTTTTGACTATTTAAAGTGAGAATGCAATAAACTCCATTACCTAACAGTCTGTGAATCTGAACTTTACTAATGTGCCTGTACACATACGTACATATATACATTCTGCGTGCATAATAATCTGAGTACCTTCAGACAGAAAGACTGAATAATGTTTATTTTACTGTTCATTTAGTCAACAGATGCCTTGTATCTGCTCTGTGCCAGGTATCAGGAACACGATTGACAGAATGCTGTTGTCAGGGCAAGGGTTTCTACCTTACTTGGGAGAGAAAGAGAATAAACAAATAAAGCCAAAAATATAATCTCAGAGTATAACATATCATTAGCGTTAAATACATTTCACTTCTAGTCTTTGAATGTTGGTGATCCATTCATGGCATAGATAGTGCTAATCTGCAAGCAGAATATTTGATAACCAGAACTCCTGTGCCCTGCTTTTGTCAGTTCATAGGGTTTATAATGCAGCCATCTATTGTACTGTGAGCAGTATCTGTTAGAAGAATTAAAATTCAAATGCATGCTGTCATCTGAGGTCAGCTGCATATCAGAAGGGAAGGACTGCTGGGTGTGGTGGCACATGCCTGTAATCCCAGCACTTGGGAGGCTGAGGCAGGAGGATCATTGCAAGTTTGAGACCAGCCTGGGCTACAAAGGAGCTCAAGGCCAGCCTGAACTGCATAGAGAGATCCTGTCTCAAAAGACAAAAAAAAAAACAGAAGGGAAGGACCATGTGCGGTTAGGGATATGTGGCTTCTGGATTCAAGTGAAAGCATCACTGAACTGTGGGACCCAGCAAGAAGGACCATGGGGTGGTGGGTTATGCTCTTTGTTATCCAGAAGCGTGGGTAACATCTCTAGTGTCAGACCTCAGAGTCCGGGTTGGATCAGAGGCTCCGAACTGAAAATGAGAGAGCCTCAAAAGCGGTTCCAGTGTGTCTGTCCATCTTGTTTGACTGTTTCATTCTGACAAATGTGATGGTAGACCCATTTTAAGGCAGGCTCCCTTATACTCAGTTTTGTGTCCTATATATGCTCTTGATATCATTTAAAAGGGCTGAAACCTAACACACTTTGAGTTACTTCTAACTGAAAATTATGGTTCTCAATCATTAATAGGTACCACAACCTAAAAATAGTTTTCTTTTGAAGTATTTTTATGACATACTTTCACTTTTGGGCTGAGTGAATACATCTTATGCTAGGGACTGTAAGGGAAGCACAAACCTAGGGAATTCCTGTTCTCTCTAGGTCAGAGACAAGTTTCCCAAGCTCCCACAGAGAGGCCACCTCTGAGATTTTGAAATCCAATTACATCTCAAATACCTCTTGCTTTATGTTGCCTCTTTTGTTGTAAGTAAAAAAATGTAGTGCCCAGGGTATTTTAAATTTGACATAAATGTGTCCAGCAGCACTTAGTTGGGTGTCTGTACAAATACACCCAATAAAACAAACATTTCCCAAGATATAACCAAGGCAGCAGCTTGCTGCTTTTCTTTGTGCTTGGTACCTTTCCTAATGTCAACTACTTTCTTTTCACTTATATTCCATATGTTAGTTTCCAACTCATGGACGGACTTGAAGGTGCTAGCTTGATCCATGTGAAATTCAGGTCACGTTTTCTTAGCCTGAGTGAGTGGTAGTACATTTAGTTGGAGTTGGTCAATAATACATCCTTCTCTCCTCCCCCGCCCCTTTGATAGTAGAACATATATATTACACAGAGCACAAAACATCTCATTTCTCGGTAACATCTTCGGAGGATGAAAGAGACAGGCAGAGAAGGGAGGGGAGAGTTGGAGGGAATGTTCCTGAATTATATCCAGAAGAAAATTAATTTAAAAGTCTTTGGGTGCCATTTTTAATTCTTGAGACCATTGTAATTTATAATTTAAACTCTTTGACACTTTGGCATTTTATATTCTTGGGAAGGAAGTTAAATGGCAAAGCAGTTAAGTGTGGCCTTGGGAATTTAAACCAGTTATTAATAGTTGATCCAAGATTTTAGATATCTGTGATGGATGGCTGCTCTTGGAATAAATAGAAAACCGACTTACTACCTACTTCCATGACTGTATTCTCAGCACATGTGGTATAGAAGGTTTCCAGTGGTTTAGCATAGCAAGGAGGGGTTTTTGTTTGCTTTCTTCCTAATTTCATGTTCAGTGCTGTCTGAGGGTGCTTTGTGGTTTCTGGCGTGTTTTGACATCTTGGCATGAAATAGTCCATATACATGAAATTGGTGGAGGCGATGTGTGTAGTGTGTTTGAAAAGTAGATGAGGGAGGCAGTTTTGGTCAAATCTGTAAAAGTTGCTACTGAGAGTCAGTGAATTGTCTGCCACCTGTTTACTGATGTTCAATTGCATGAGCGTCTTTCTGGAAAAAAAATTTTTCCTATACTGTGAGTCATGTTTAAGCATGTTCCAAATAATAATAATAATACTTATAATTACATTGTTTGAAAATTTAAAGGCAATAGTAAAATGAAAGTCTTTAAAAATAAGGC